GATCAAAATCTCACACCATATACCAAAGTAAAGTCAAAATGGGTTCATGACTTAGATATAAAGGCTGATACTGTAAGCAAACTAGGAGAGCAAGGAATACTTTACCTATCAGATTTTTGGAGAACAAAAGAATTCATGACCAAACAGGAGATAGATAATATTACAAAAAGCAAAATGGATAACTTTGATCACATTAAATTGAAAAGTTTTAGTACAAACAAAGCCAATGCAACCAAATTAGAAGGAAAGTAGAAAACTGGGAAAGAATTTTTACAACCAGTGTCTCTAATAAGGACCTCATTTCTTTTTTTTATTAACTTATTTTGATTTATAAACAATCACTTCCATATGCTGTTGAGTTTAAATTTTTCTCCCCTTTCTTCTCCACCTCCCTCCCCAAGGTGGTGCACAATCTGATATAGGTTATACATACACATTCCTATTAAACATATTTTCACATTACTGATGTTGGAAGTAAAAATTAGAACCAATAAGAGGAACCACCTGAAAGAGGAAACAAAACTCAACAGAAGAGAAAATATCAAATATTATGCTTTGATCTGCATTCAAATTCCATAGTTCTTTCTTTGGATGTGGATAGTATTTCCATCATGAGGCCTTTGGAGATGTCTTAGATCCTTGTACTGCTGTGAAGGGTTAAGTTTATCAATATTAGTCATCACACAACATGGCTGTTATTGGGTACAATGGTCTCTTGGTTCTGCTCATTTCACTCAGCATCAGACCATACAAGTCTTTCCAGGTGTTTATGAAGTCAGCCTGTTCATCCTTTCTTATAGCACAATAGTATTCCATTACATTCATTTACCACAACTTGCTCAGCCATTCCCCAATTGATGGGTATCCTCTCAATTTCCAATTCTTTGCCAAAGGACCTCATTTCTAAAATATATAGAGAAGTAAGTCAAATTTATAAGAATACAAGTCATTCCCCAATTGATAAGTGGTCAAAGGATATCAACAGGCAGTTCTCAGATGAAGAAATTAAAGCCATCTGTAGTCAGATGAAAAAATGCTCTAAATCACTATTGATTAGAGAAATGCAAATCAAAACAACTCTGAGGTACCACATCACACCTATCAGATTGGCCAAGATAACAAAACAAGAAAATGATAAATGTTGGAGAAGATGTGGGAAAATTGGGTCACTAATGCGTTGTTGGTGGAGTTGCGAAATGATCCAACCATTTTGGACAGCAATTTGGAACTATACCCAAAGGGTTACAAAAATGTACATACCCTTTGACCCAGCAATAGCACTTCTAGGGCTATATCCCAGAGAGATCATACAAATGGGAAAAGGACCCACATGTACAAGCATATTTATAGTAGCTCTTTTTGTAGTGGCAAAGAATTGGAAATTGAGAGAATGCCCATCAATTGGGGAATGGCTGAACTAATTGTGGTGTATAAATGTAATGGAATACTATGAGCTATAAAAAAAATGATGAACAAGCTGACTTCAGAAAAACCTGGAAAGACTTGTATGGTCTGATGCTGAGTGAAGTGACCAGAACCAGGAAAATGTTTACATAATAACAGCCACGTTGTGCAATGACTAATATTGATAAACTTAACCCTTCCCAGCAATACAAGGATCTAAGACATCTCCAAAGGCCTGGTGACGGAAAATGCTATCCACATCCAAAGAAAGAACTATGCAATTTGAATGCAGATTGAAGCATACTATTTGCTATTTTTTTTTCTCTTCTGTTGAGTTTTGTTTCCTCTTTCTGGTGGTTCCTCCTATTGGTTCAAATTCTTACTTACAACATCACTAATGTGAAAATATGTTTAATAGGAATGTATTGTATAGCCTATATTAGATTGTGCACTGTCTTGGGGGGGGTTGTGGGGAGGAAAAGGGAGAAAAAATTTAAACTCAAAAGTATATGGAAGTGATTGTTGATAAATCAAAATAAATTAATAAAAAAAAAGAGAATTGCTTGAGCCAATGCAGAGTAAAGTGTTTTATTTTGTCTCATTTAGACACATAGACTTATTTCTCGGTAAGCTTTTGTCCTTTATCAGTTCAAAAAGAAATCTGGGGGGTGAGAATTACATAGAAAGATCATGAATGTAGAGAAGAATGAGACCTTTTGGTCCATCAATCCAACCCCTCACATTTTACAGAGAAGTAAAATGAAGACCTAAAATATAAAGGTCATGCAGGGAGTTAGTGTCAGAGGTAGGGTTTGAACACACGTCCACTGACTCCAGAATCAAAGCTCTTCTACATAACCATGGTGAATCATAAAGCAGTCTATCTAAAATTAACCTCTATTTTCGGAGAGGATCACAAACATACACCTTTAGATTAATGAGCAATGAGATTCCAATCAACAGACCCACCCCACACCCACCCTTGGTAGATAGATAACCTGGTTGGTTATCTGTAGGGAATGTCATTTTAAAAAGTCACCTTCAGATTAGGAACTTAGTTCACAAAAAGAAGAAGAAGAAGAAGAAGAAGAAGAAGAAGAAGAAGAAGAAGAA